CCCCCCCCCCCCCCCCCCCACCCCCATCACCTTTCTAATAGTCCGTTCCTCGGTCTCCGAAGTCACACAACGCTCCGCGTCCCCACATGAGTGACTTTGGCCTCCGAGCGTGGAATGAGGAAGTGAAACTTGTCACGAAGAGTAACAAGATCAAGCTAGAGCTGTATCTCATTTCCTTTATTGCTCAAAAGACGTGCTCAAGTCGTTTGTACTTTCTGTCTCGGTGTTCCGAGATGCCACAGAGCTGATGTATATTTGGTGGATTTCGCTAAGCATCTGTCTAATTTGCCACACTCGTGGCGTCCATTCACAAAATGAATGTCATGATAATCAAGAGTGTCACGGTTTGAAATGTTGCCTGGGTCACTGTACTTGGAGAACGTTCTGCCCTTGTAGGAGAAAGGCTGATTGCGCGTCTGGAGAGACTTGTCTTCTTTCAAATTTAAGCTGCCAGCCGATAGCGGCTCAATCTCCAAAGCCCACTACACGTTCGTCAACACATGACACCACCTCTGCACAGCCTATCGACTGTGCACGGGACGGTGAATGTAAAGGAGGCTCAGTTTGTACAGACGGACAGTGTGTCGACAATCGCAGATCGACTGAACATGTCGTAAAGAACGCATGGAGTAGAAGCGAAGCGATTGTAGCAGTGGCTTTCGTTGCTGCATCACTATTAATTGGATGTCTATGTTTCTTATGCAAGAAGGCTAGATCACGATATGCTCTAGCGAGAATGACAAGAGAAACCGCGCTGAACACAACTCGCGTGACTTACTATGAAATGCAACCAGGAAGTCCAAGTGTGATTTTTATGGATGAACGTTCTCTTTCATCACCTCTTGATGCTCCGCCACCTTACAGTTTACTGGAATTTGAACGACAAATCGATGAACCACCAAGTTATGACGATGCAGTCAGGATTTGCCCAAAGCCAGCCGTGGATTTGTAGATCAGTTAATAAAGCAAATCGGGTCTGACGCCCTCTCCGTCACCCTCCAGTGCGTATCGTCGCGTGACGGAGAAAATCGGAGCTCATACCTGAACAGATTCATTCATGCAGGGTTTTTCTTAAAATTTAACATTTTTCTTGCAATGTGGTTCAATTTTCTACGGTTTGAAGTAGCAAAATGGATGAGACTATTGGCTCTCTCGGATCCAATCTTCTTTCCTTGGGCTCCTTTCCCGAACAGTGACTGGCTTGGGTAAATAGGACCTGTTTATTAGCCTCTCTCTCTCCTTTATTTCGCTCCGCCGTTATTGTTTTTTCGCGCTGCGCCCCAACTAACTGAACGCTTGGAAGAGGCTAGTTTATTTGTTTGTGTGACACTGGTGGAATGACCCTGACTTTGAAATGGGAACGAATGTTGTCTGAAAGTATTTCCCTTTATTTGGTTGCCACACGTTGTCATAACTTTAGGTAAGCTTTTCTGTGCTCTCGTTGACATGGAAACTTAATTCGCGTTATTTCTGTTTTTGGCCAATCAAAACGATTATTTACGACGGTTTGTAATATACTTCCGCGAATTGATAGAGTTTTCTTTGTAGCCAAATAGCAAGGCAAAGCAAATTATAAAAACTATTTTTCATCAAAATGAAATAACAGATCTGGTATGGAGCCGGGAATTAAGACTTGTAAAGTTTTAAAAATAGTCTTGTTAAAATTATCGGTCATTGTACCGAAAGTATATGATTATTATTATTATAAGATTAATAACCCCTGATACATTCGAAATTCACTCTAAATGTAACTGTATTAACTAAGTTTCGTGGAGAGCTTATTTTCGTGAGCTGTAAGTTGGTATGTTTTATCCTCTTGGAGTGAATTGTGAGCAATTTTCTTCCCTTGCGGAACGTAAGTTGCTAAATAAAGAATTGTGTCCTTAGAGCCGAACAGGGGCCTGGGAACAAGGAAACCACAGGCCAACCGTAGTAATTAGATGTGGCGATGGTTAGTGTTTCTTCCTTAAAATCACATGGCAACACAAATAGTCAATAAAATCTGACCACGAGTTAACACCTTCCTTATTCATCACAAGACTTACTGAGAGCGTTTAGTCTGACGACGTCGTATCGGCGAAAAACTCTTCCTGATTTCGTGTACAAGTAATGATGAATTTTTGGTCGCTCTCGCTTCTCTTCGCCCTAATCTCCTGTTTCACCTTGGGTGTCTACTCAAAAGACTGCGTCGAGGATAACGAATGCCACTATGGGAGATGCTGCGAGGGCCATTGCATTTGGCATCATTTTTGTCCGTGTGTCAACGACAATGATTGCAGAGCCGGAGAGAAATGCAAAAGCATTAGAGGATTTCGATACTGTAAGATAAGTCCGATCGACGACACACCGACCACGTTTACGCCCGAGTCCACCAACGCGACAAAATCTTGGTCGGATCATGAGACCGATCCAACTTCGAAAACGGCAACGTTAAAAGAACATGAGACCGATCCAACTTCGAAAACTGAAACGTTAAAAGAACATGAGAAATACAGACGCCGGAAAGCAAAAACATGGCGAACTGGAAGCAAAATTATTGCGATATCCTGTCTCGTTGCTTTACTTGCACTTGTGCCATTAATCTACTTCATGTTCGGGAAAACCAGAAAGCGACCTACAAACGTCATCGCGCTCCCGGGCCAAGCTACTCAAGCTGGAATGCCGGGGATAACTATGCCAATGAATACCTTGGCGACCGCGGATCCTCGAATACAGCAAGGAAGTGCAGCTTGCAATGGCGCGACTCTCATGGAGGCGGGAGCAGGGCCCTGTCCTTATAAGGCTCCTGGTGCTCTGCCGTCTTACGATTCGCTAGGATTCGAGGGAGAAGTGAAAGGAAAGGATGACCCACCACCAGGTTATGATGAGGCCGTCAAGCCGCCCGATGTGACCACCAAGTAGTTCAGAACTGGACTTGTCCAGAATAAGGAAAGAATGGTGGGACAGTGCAGTAAACATGAGATGTAAAGAATTAGCAAGGCGCTTTATAAATTAATACAATAGATTTCAGCATCGTTAAAGGTATTCTTTTTTTTTTTTTTGGAATTTAAGCAATGCTGAGCTCCATAAAGTATATAACATTCTCTTTTCAAGGTACCTTGCCCCCGTATGTCTGTAAGATATCTTTGAGAAGATATAAGATACTTAAACTGTCCGTAGCTTTTTTTCTTTATTTTGAATTACAGGAATGTGGGCGTGCTAGTTTTAAAACTTCTCAAACATTTATCTGCCAACTACGTGATCTCAGTGCTAAAGCGTTGACAACCCATTCATGTGGTAACAGCTACTACTGCATTATTTAAACAATTGCTTATTTTCCACGCCGACATAGAGTGGACTAAATTAACATAATTTACCTTAACCGCAGCAGGGCTAACTGAGGCTAACAATAATGGATAACTATATCACCGGAAAATTGTCATAATTCAAAACAATGGAATTGCGAAAAAGATAATCAATCAAACCAACAACGGGCTAAAACTATGCTACTTTGACAGAGTAAATTGCTTCAGAAACGCAAAGATAAAACAA